TTATGGCTCCTGCTGTTTTTCAGCCGCAATGCGAGAGGGTCAACTGAAATGACTGCAAACTACGCAAAACAGAGCCATCCGCTGTATCGATGGCAACCCGCCCCGGACAGCCATGCAGCCGCTGCTCACTGCTCACTCCCTGTACCGTGTCAGCGAGCTCTACAGGCAGAAAATATTGCTCACCATCTGGCGGTGCATCCACGCCCGCACCAGCCCTGTGCTCGCCCAGCTTCTGACCCCGGCACAAGGCACCCCTACCCGCCATCAGCAGTCAAATGGCCTACTAAGCCAGGCAAACCGTAGCCGCCGCGGTCAGCGGAGATTTTCTGTTGCTGGTGCTCTGCTGTGGAACGCTCTCCCTGGTGAGGTCCGCACAATTCCCGGCTACCTGAGTTTAAGCATGCATGTGTACCATACGCCTGTAGGGAGTAGTTCGAGTTGCTGCTGATCGCTCTGCTCTCCCTCCCCGTGCAGTTCAGTAACCCGCACGTAGTATCACAGATACATCGTATTCTCTCTCTCCCCCCGTTTACCCGCAGTTATTAGTATCCTATTCTCTTACTATGTGCTTCCATAGCTTTTACTATGTTCTTCCATAGCCACTTCTAGGCTAAGCCTTCGCCGTCATTTTATTGGGTCGTCATCCCGTTTGAATGTGCGAAGTGAAATAAAACCAACCAACCAACCGAAATGGCGCAAGTGCGCGCTTTCCACATAATTATATCAATGGCATATGCAAGCTGCTAAAATGGTAAAGTGTGAGAACAGCGATAAATAATCATAGTACGCGCTCATTAGTGGAGAAACACACCACACAGGCGACGAAAATCTTAGGCGGAATACTGATGCCAATGGAAAGTACATGTATGTTGTTTATTATTATGATGTTGCAATGTCCATGTATGCAGGCGAGGCGAGACTCACCGCCGAGATCCCCCAACGCGACACTCCGACAGGTTTGGTTGCCGTTCAGGATTCACACCGACCTGTCTGCCCGTCAACAGGATCGACAGCGGGAGGCCCCACTGATGCCGATGTCGATGCACACCAGGAAACTTGTAGTCGTGAGTGTGATACTACGGAGGATTAGCAAGACGAAATTCGCGTTCGCGTTCGCTCTCCAAAGAAAGTCGAACTCAGTGACGGAATTCGCGTTATGAGAAGGATTAGCAAACAGAATTCGCACATGCATGATGTTGACACGACGTAGGCAGTACAGCGTGGTAAATTTATGACTGCCCTGACACGAATCCACGATTCGTGTTCCGACTACTTTTCCGAACGAAAAATGCGAAAGTTCGCAATCCAGTTCGCGAACTGAAAAATGTTTGCGAACGCGAACGCGAATTTCGTCTTGCTAATCCTCCGTACTAACAGGTCTAGTAGCAACCTCACCATCACTGCTGCCCAGTGCAGCCCCTGCTCAGTGCAGTAGCTGTTTGTTTTTGTCCACATAATTATTTATTTTACGAGTTGGGTTTGTGAATAAAAGTAAAAAAATAAATAAATAAAAAATAAATGTTGAAGAGAAAAGGACATATCGATACGAGTTAAGAGTAACTCTCCATCACTGTAACATGATACTATATACAGTCAGAAAGTGCAATAACTAGGCACAAAACTGACAGAGTACTGAAACATTCGACGTCCTGACACCTAGCTTCAACACATCTCCGTAGCGCTAACCGACAGCCTTCCAACTTGGAAGGTTCAAGGTTATGGAAAGACCAAAGAGGGGAAGGCAAGCGCAACGAAAATGAGCAAAAGCTACAGTCCCAACGGAACAAAGAATGTCGATTGTTACTGGACGATGACGAGACCAGTACGATATTTGACAAAGCGGTCTAACTACAATTCGAAGCAGCAAAGCAGCACACCACCCAACTTGGGTGGGTCATAAATATCAAAGATAAATAAAGAAAGGGAAGCTTTGCGAAAACGAATTGTACAAGCCGAAACGAAACGTACGTCGTGTGAAACAACTTGTTTTGTAGTCAACTAGTCCATCACAATGTCATGCATGAGGAGTACTGTAGGAGTTTGGCTTTCGGCTTGTACAATTCGTTTTCGCAAAGCTTCCCTTTCTTTATTTATCTTTGATATTTATGACCCACCCAAGTTGGGTGGTGTGCTGCTTTGCTGCTTCGAATTGTAGTTAGACCGCTTTGTCAAATATCGTACTGGTCTCGGCATCGTCCAGTAACAATCGACATTCTTTGTTCCGTTGGGACTGTAGCTTTTGCTCATTTTCGTTGCGCTTGCCTTCCCCTCTTTGGTCTTTCCATAACCTTGAACCTTCCAAGTTGGAAGGCTGTCGGTTAGCGCTACGGAGATGTGTTGAAGCTAGGTGTCAGGACGTCGAATGTTTCAGTACTCTGTCAGTTATGTGCCTAGTTATTGCACTTTCTGACTGTATATAGTATCATGTTACAGTGATGGAGAGTTACTCTTAACTCGTATCGATATGTCCTTTTCTCTTCAACATTTATTTATGGCTCAACATCCGAGTTTCAAATAAAAAATAATAAATAAACCACTGACAAACGAGAGGCCAGCTGGGGCATTCACTCCAGTCGGCCTCCACAGGCCACAGTCGGCCTCCACATAGCATCATTTTTTGGATTTGAATCTTGATGCTCGAGAACAGTATCTTGTATCTCAATAATACGCAATTTCTTGCGAATAATCTGGAAACCCTTACAAGTCACAGCCAAGACAACTCACAGCCACACCAACTCATAGCGCAACAATTCACAGCCACACCAGCTTAGCAGTGTGGTTACTTTTCATTGATTGGCTGCTTCTGATATCACACTGATGCCACTGCTGAAACATGCTCTGGCTATAAAAGCTCACAGTTGAATAGAAAAAATCGTTTTGGTTATGGATACGAGTGTCGTGGTGGAATCACTACACCATGGATTCTTTAACAGATTACAAAAACAGAGCGAGGACGAGAGAAAGTAGTCTTTCGTGGATATGGCTACGTGAAAGACGGGCCCAGAGACATAAGTTACTGGAGGTGTGACGCATTGTAAAGGGAGAGCGAAGATGTCGGAGAGGAGAATAGTGGCCTTGGTCGGTGACCACAACCATCCCGCAGAGGCTGAGAGGCAGGAGGTGGCTGCTGTGAGAGATGCCATTACTGTACATAGCCAAGAGACAGTGGAGTCAACGTCTCAAATTGTAAACGGTGGGCTAGCGGAAGCTTCGTTTGCAGTGGCAGTGCAGCTGCCAGACTCCAAGTCACTTTTAAGTGACTTGGAGTCTGGCAGCTGCGCTTAAAAGCGGCAATCGCAACGAGATCGCCTGCGGGTTCAGAACGTTCCGCCGAACCCAGGCAAAGACCTCCAGCTGCCGGAGCGCTATCAAGAAACGAAGGGTGGGGACGTCTTCCTTCTCTACGACAGTGGACCGGAAACTGCAGACAACAGAATTATTGTGTTCTGTACGCAGGAGAACCTCGACATGCTTGACGACTGTGGAAGCTGGTATAGTGATGGTACATTCACGACCTATTTTACCAGCTGTACACCACTTCATGGCTACTTCCTGCCGCTTCTATACGCTTTGCTTCCCAACAAGACCCAGCAGACCTACGAGAGACTTCTGGACGTCATCATACAAGCTAAAGACGGCATCCAACCTCAAACAGTGATGATGAACTTTGGGAAGGGTGCAATGAACGCAATGCAGATGAAGTTCCCAGACTGTCAAATTCACGGCTGCTACTTCCATCTCAGCCAGAACATATTCCGACACGTGCAGAGTGCTGGTCTTCAGGAGAGGTACACCACCAATGTAGCATTCGCCCTTGAAGTGCGGAAGTTAGCAGCCCTCGCATTTGTACCACTTGGTGATATTGTCGAATTCTTCCTTCACTTGGAAGACACGTTGTCGCCAGAAATGGATCCCAGCCTAGAGTACTTCGAGAAGAGTTACATTGGTACCCTTCCGGCGGCACAATGGTCAACGCAGAACGCCACTATTCCCACCTCCATTGTGAAATGTCCACGACAGCACTCTACAAAATGAAGACAGAACGAATAACAGTCAAGAAGGAAGGGTGGCACAGTAAGTTTTCGCCTACCGTCGACTGCCATCATCCCACAATTTGGAAATTCCTGGATGGTATTTTTGTCGAGCAGGCAATGATGGAGCAGTGTGTGGAGAGGGAAAATGCAGGTCATGAGGCTCCGAAGAAGGGGAGGAAGTATGAAGATCGGGACAAGCGATTCCGTACCATACTCCGGTCGTTTGAGACCGGGACGAAGGATGAGTTTCTACGAGGAGTTGCTGCGAACTTGGCATTTCATAATTATAATTATGTGATTCTTACAGGAAATTTCAAAGTTATTTTTTAGGGAAGGTCGCGTTATTATTATCTTATACGGGGTGATTTGGCATGGTTGTAAAGTGGCGTTTTTTCAGCCACTTCTAGGCAAGCTACTAGTACGTCCAAATGAATTGTTGCAGGTGGCGGTGCTATCCTTCATGCCCGTTGTGTCAAAAAATGGGAATGATCCCACTTTGGAAAGTGTCTTGTTAGATAATCACGACCGCCCCAACTCACTCCCGGACACGCACTCACAACAACGTCCACAACGAGTTCTTTGGCGAACAGTGTTCATATAATTATTGGAGAAGAAGCAGAGAATGTGGGAGAGCGAAAAGCACAAGTTTGTTCCACGGCCAACTCTAAAACTAACTGGAACTGATGTAGTTCTTCGTTGTACGCACTGTACGCATGAGAGCACGCCAGTTGCATGCCAGCGCGCAAGCGAGCAATGAACATGAAACGGACACCAGAAGTAACAGGATCTGGCGGTGACACAAAGTCAAAGGGAATGTATTACATGTCGGGAGACCATCAATGAGCCATGGTAGCCTGCGGGTGCAACAAGGAATGTAAGATAGAAGTTAGAGCAACGAATACCATGCATACTCTCACATCACCCCTTAGTGACTCATGTCACTACCGAATAGCTACAACATAATCATCAATATCGAGCAGGTCGCACAAGCGTAGACCGGTCGCGCAATGATGGGCCTGCAGCAGGCGGCGGCGTGACCGGGTCAACGCTCAATACCAGAGACGGAACAGGGCCCGACTCGGCTTCATCGCTGGCACCCGGAGCGACGGGCGGCGGGGGCGGCAGATCGTCCTCGGCGGCACGCCTTAATAAGTCGACATTCACGATCTTGTCACGGCCGGTGCCGTCGACCCGATGAACCACCACCGTCGAGGGGCCCACAATCGACATAACTTGCCAACCAGGCTCGTACGGGGTTAGGCGCTTCTGGCAGCGCTGAGGCCGGCGAAGCATGACAGCATCGCCAACAGTCAAGCGGCTCGGTGTCGGCTCGTCGATGAAGTCGAAGCGGCCGAGCGCAGACTCGACGTCAGGCGAAATAGCACGTCATAGTACATTCGAGATCAGCGGGAAGAAGATGACGACGTCCACTAATTTAGTATCTGTGCACACGATTCTGCTGTGTGTGTTACTCTGTGTGTCAGCTATGGCATCATCGCCTGTGGTTCCATGCCTAGCATGTACGTCTGAACCATCCTACAAAGTTTGAATGACGTAGGTTGAGCGATCGCTCCGCGAAACATACTTTTTGAAATTCTCTTCATAGTATATCTTCCACCATTGAAATTTCGAATTTCTTCGAATTTTTTGCTGAGAGGGGTGGCTTGCAACCTCGATATGGCTTGTTCCAGGCATGCTTTGGAGCCATCGCCTGTTGAAACAGTGGCGGGAAGCTGCCCTGCAACTGTTCCAGCAGGAAATTAATCGATCCGAGAAAGCGCGAGTCCGCGAATCTCAGTTGAATATTGAGTATTTCAAGCCTTTTCACGACGAAGATGGAGTTCTTTTTGGAGATGGATGTCGCGACAAAGGACATGGTGTCCGACTTCTGGCGTCTGGTGAAGCCAGGGATCATTTGTCCAGTCAGGTCGGCAGCCTAACCGTCGGTAAGCTTGTGTTTGGATCCCGTTCTGCTCGATGTGGTAGATCACAAACAATTTGATATCGCACAAATTCATCTCAGCATCGTGCGTACGGTATTTTATATTCAGAAAATCCCAAAGTGTCTCTGTGTGGCCGTCCTATGCCACGAGAAACTCCAATCAGGCTCCTATGTCCTCTGCCTTCATGATTGAATGTCCACTTCGTTTGAACAACGAACACAACAATCGAGGACGGCTTTGCAATGAAAAATACAGCTATACTAGAGCTGAAAAAAAGAAGAAAAAAACGGGCTCAGGATGAGACTCGAGTACACGCATACTCTCCCAGCAGGTGAAACGCAAATTTTTGTGAAAAATGTGTGACGCCGACTGACCAGTAATTTCGCCTGACGTGTAGTCTCGCATCGCCGCTGCCCGCTGCTGGAGGTCGTCTACCCATGAGCCAGCTGAATACGAGTGCTGAGGCCGATCCACGACCAAGCCACGGGGATGCCAACCAACCATGGCCTCCATCGGGGAGACGTTGGTGGCGCTGTGTGGCCGGATCCGATAGTAGTACAGGAGCATCGCCAGCTCCTGTTCCCAGTCGTGCGCCTCATCCAGAACCTTCCGCACGAGGGTCAACAGGGTTTGGTTGAACCTCTCAGCCACGCCTTGCGACTGGGGATGACGTGCCGCGCCGTAGCAGACATGAACGCCGAACGCCTCGTAGACGGAAGACATGACAGCGTTCTTGAACTCTGTGCCGTTGTCGGATCGAACCACGCGAGGAGGACCCCACCGAGAGCACACGTCGACGAAAGCTCTAGCCACACAGATGCCGTCATGACGCTTGAGGGGAACCACCTCGACCCACTTGGTGAATGCATCCACGCATACCAACACGCAGTGGTAACGCCCGGACCGGTTAACGCCGAGCTCGAGGGTATCGATGTGCACCACATCCCAGGGGCCGTTGGCTGATACCGGACGAGTGGGCTCGGTCGCCTCTCCGCGGCGTGGGTTGGCGGCTTGACAGCTGCTGCATCCGGACACAAACGCTTGGCAGCGCTGTCCCATGCCCAAGAAATGGCACTGGGATCGAAGCAACTGCCACGTCGCCTCCCAGCCACTATGGCCAGACACCTGGTGGGCTGCACGCACGGCCTGCTCCTCCAGCGCAGCAGGAAGCACAGGAACGCACTTGACGTCGTTCGGCGGAAGCTTGACGCTGCGCTGCAAGACGCCGTCTTGAACTTGCAGCTGACCGCGGATGTTCCGGAAGCCGCTGTCAGGCGGGAGGTCGTCCCCAGCGATCACTGCGGCCTTCGCTGCCTGGAGTGCACCGTCGTCCTCCTGCCCGGCCAGGATCTCGGCCATCGACAGACTCGGCATGATGGCGAGGCTGGCAGCAACATCCGTCACGCTGTTATCCGATGTGCAGGCCAGCCAGGACGTCGGAACGCGCGTGAGCTGGTCGGAGAGGTTCTGTTCTGACGGAACCCAGTCCACCTCCACGTCAAGGCGAGCTGTTGCGACGATGTCGTCAATGATCTGCAACCGACGCTTGACGAGCAGCTCGTGGAGCCCGCCAACCTTCACGCGGCGCTCGTTCCCGAGGATCTGACGAAGCCAGCCATGCACGGTCTTGGAATCCGTGTGGAGGCGGATCTTCCGCGCAGGCCAATTGGCAGCCGCGTTGAGGCCCTTGATGACGGCGTCCAACTCAGCGATGTTGATATGCCGTTTGTCGTCAGCCGGGCGCAGCCAGCTGCGGTCCTCGATGACCTCGCCGTTGACTTGCACCACGACACCCAGCGCGATTCCCGACGCATCGCACCACACGTGCCACTCCGTTGCGTCGTCATGCTGCACCGACCATACGCCACGCACCGGATCGTGCTCGTTGACTTGGGTCTGGATGTCGCGGCAGAGCTGCAGCAGACGAGGTGGCACGGCGATATCCCAGCCGACGGATTCGCCGATCATCCGCTTCAGCCAATTCGTCGTCGGTCGCAGCCACGCACAGACGGGGTAATGGCTGACGAGCTTGCCACACCAGCTGAACACGGCGCGACGTTGAGGCCGAACCCCATGCGCGTCATGGCAAACAACTCTCCTTGCCACACGATCGCTTGATAGCGGTACAGACGGGGAGCCATCCGGATCTGGAGGTACGCCTTGCTCAGATCAAGGAGGGCGCTATCACCGTCCCCGAGTCGCCACTCGCGCAGCTTCTGGCCGCAAGCCGGCGCATCCAGGCCTGGGTGCGACACAAGACACTCATTCAGAGCGCGGTAGTCTAAGCACGGCCGCACGGGAGTTGACGCCTTGTGAGCCTGGTCGACAGCCATCAGTGGAAGAACACAGGCCGGTTCACCGAACGCTTCACGGTCGTACGGGACCAGCCAGCCGTTCTCGCGCCACATCTGGACCTCCTTGACGAACTGCTGCTCTTGCTCTGGGTTGAGTTTCTTGCGCGGATATTCTCCAACACCAGAACCAAGAGGAAGAGACGGCTCCGTGTCGGCTTTCCATCGCCAGGTGGCTTCCCAGAAGCCTAGGTCGTCGCGCCAGGTTGCCTCAATGTCGTCCATCCGCAGCGTGACCTGGCCATCGCCGTCGCTGACCGAGATATGCCGTGACAGCTTCTCCGTGGCAGCCGCCACGCCGGCCGAGGCGACGTCACGTGCGGGGCCGAATACAACAGACGATAACTGGCCTCCCGGCTGATCATGGGAGATGCTGACACCACCAACTTGGGACACGATGTCCGATCCGATCACGATATCGGTGTTGAGGGCGTCGAGGTTCGGCACGACGAGCAACGAAACCTTGATCGTCGGTAGGTAGACCGAGCCATCCTCGCGCTTCAGCGTCATGTCCACGCTGCCGGTGACGTCCAAGGGTGTGCCGTCCACCGTGATCAGCCGGTCGCTGGTCTCCTTCAGGCTGGACTGCATACCCAGCTGCTGGACAACTGGCCACTCGATCAGGGACCGAGTGCAACCCGTGTCGACAACCGACGCTTGGCGGCTCCAATGCGCGTTTTCGACCTGCACCTCCACTGCAACTCGAATCAGCTGCGACGAAGGCCGGGGCATAGCCAGGCAGAAATCCGTCCGCGGGTGCGACGCTGCCGGGGCTGGTGCTGTGGCGGCCACACGTCCAGAATCTGACCTCTGAGGACAGTCTTTCCTCAGGTGGCCCACCTGATGACAGCGATAGCACGTGGGTCCACTCCTCTTGGCTGGAGCATCCGTGGTCGTCCTTGGCCAAGTCGACTGCGGGGGCCCACCGCCGCCACCGCGCTGTCCACCGCCACCGCGCTGTCCACCGCCACCGCGCTGTCCACCGCCACGACGCTGCTGATTCGGGCAGCTACGGCGCATGTGACCCACTTGGCCACAGCCATAGCACATCAGCGACTGACTCTGGGGCGGGGGACCAGATCGGGCTGCAGCCACCGCCTGAGCGACCCCTGCCGCTGACTGCATCGTCCTCACCTGTCCAGTCAGCTCCGCGACGGTAAGGCTCTTCATGGCGTTGGCCAGCCGGACGGTTTTCCCATACTCGTGTGGTAGACCGCTGATCAACTGCTCCACGAGCAACGGGTCTTTCCCATCCGCAGCAACCTTGTGGCCTGACAATGTCAGCAGGCGCGTCAGGTCTGCTACGTAGGCGTCGACAGGCTCATCCAGGGCCAGCTGCCGCCCTACGAATAGATGGTAGGACTCCGCCGGGCTGGGCGCGAACGCAGCCTCCAAAGCAGCCTTCACCGCCGCGGTCTTCTTCCGATCCTCTGCGGACAACTGGTCAAACACCAGGAACGCCGGACCATCCAGCAACAATGGCAGATGCGCCATCTGTTTTTCCTCCGAGTCCCATTTGTGCAGTTCTCCAAGGACCAGGAACTTAGACCAAAACGCAGCAAGGTTATCACCTTTTCCACGAAACGGCCGAACAAAACTATCAAACTTCAACGTCGACATCGTATTGCACACTGCTACTCCACCAAACCGGGTTTCGGCACCAAGCTGTTAGATAATCACGACCGCCCCAACTCACTCCCGGACACGCACTCACAACAACGTCCACAACGAGTTCTTTGGCGAACAGTGTTCATATAATTATTGGAGAAGAAGCAGAGAATGTGGGAGAGCGAAAAGCACAAGTTTGTTCCACGGCCAACTCTAAAACTAACTGGAACTGATGTAGTTCTTCGTTGTACGCACTGTACGCATGAGAGCACGCCAGTTGCATGCCAGCGCGCAAGCGAGCAATGAACATGAAACGGACACCAGAAGTAACAGGATCTGGCGGTGACACAAAGTCAAAGGGAATGTATTACATGTCGGGAGACCATCAATGAGCCATGGTAGCCTGCGGGTGCAACAAGGAATGTAAGATAGAAGTTAGAGCAACGAATACCATGCATACTCTCACAGTCTTTATCATGCCCTACTTTCATAGTATTCTCAGGATTCAAATCATTGGTGTGTCATTATTAAATTTTAACAAATGTGTAAAATGGCATCACAAACTGAGATATTCGGTCATCAATGTTCTGAATTTGATAGATATCACTTCAAGGAATGCTAGTGGATGAAAAGTAATCTGTCAACTGCATTGTACCGGTATGCTGTGAAAGCTGTGTTTTGAACTAGTGCCTGTGTCATACGGTAGAATTGGATAGGTAGCATAGCATCGCAGCCATGTTTTCGTTCTCGCAGAGTGTATTCCTGTTACCTACTGTTCTTCATTATTGTCTTTAGTGATAGCAAGACGGCCTGACCTCATCCAAAGGCCCTGCGGAAGCAATTCACTGCCCCCCTCGTCCATTCAGGGGCTTATTTTACACATAAAATGGCAAAGCACCCACCACCATTAATATTTTAGTATACCGACGTGGCAGGGAGAATTAACTTACATGCACCCAATTTTCTGGTCAATATATATATATATATATTTTTTTAATGTTTATTTGAATTCGGATAGCTCAACAGTACAGAAGTACAACTACAAAGACTGTACCGAATAGAAGGCCCTGAGAACGGGAAACGAAAAAAAAAAAACCAAAACAGCAACATCAATTTACTGATTTATGCACATTGCTTGAAAGCAAATCACAACAATGATTAATGTTGATCTACGATAAAGTGGCTCTCATTTGCCACCACCCATGTTTCGATACAGCTATCCGGAGCAGAGAAACAGCCAGAAGAAAAGCAAATTTTACACACCGTTTGTTAAAAAATGCCGAATGTTTAAAAAAAAGCCAAATCACCTAGTACATTGTAGGTTTTTACTAGCCTCGGAGTCGGACCAACCCCCACAGACTCCAGGTACTAGGTCTTCATTGCACCATTTAAGACCGTGATAAATAAGGTTAAGGACGCTGTGTGTCCTCGCTGTGAGTTGTCGACACTAGGGACCTTTCGCATTTGCTACGAAACGAATGCGAAACGAAACTTTGATTCGGCTCGTAATCGTTTCGTTGAAAACAGATTGCAGGTTTCGCAAGTCGTCATGCAAATGTGCATGGCAACTACGAATACGGCCGCGGGCGCCGGTAGCTTGGCGTACGGGTTTTTACACGCACACGTGCATGGATCATGGAATCAAGGGAAAAATGTGTACCTTGCCAAACATGTGTACCTATCCAAATAAATGTGTACCTGACGGATTCGGAGCGTGCCACGAATGAAGAGGCCTCCATTCGTGAAAACGAGTTCTCCGCAGGGACTCTGACGAATCCTCGAGCCCAGGTGACGAATCAGCATTCGTTTCGTATCCGTCTGCGGGGTGCGAAAGGTCCCTACTGTGAGAGAGCGATGCGACGCGATCTGCGATGGATGCGTGCGATGCGAACTCGCGAAATACCATTCACAGAAGAAGTCAGCGATGCGACAAAGTTTTGCTGATTTGGGTACGTCACCATGATATTCGCGCGGTTTGACACAACTTGTAAAAATTTATAGGCAACTCTTGCACCTTTGTACAACTTTGCTGTAGAAAAGGTCAAAATCGTACACCAAATCGCTTGTCGCATCGCATCGCATCGCAAAAGTTGAGCCAAGCTCAACTTCTGCGATGGCATGCGATGGCCCAGTTGCGTCAGTTGCGTGGGGTGCGACATGGCTGCGATTTGGGGTTTTCCCGGTTTCGCGCCTGTCGCATCGCGTGTCGCATCACAAAAAAGCTTCTGTGAATCCCGCTTCAAGCGGGATTCACAGAAGCTTTTTTGTGATGCGACACGCGATTTGCGACAGTTGCGACAAGAAACTGCCTACATTGGTACCCTTCCGGCGGCACAATGGTCAACGCAGAACGCCACTATTCCCACCTCCATTGTGAAATGTCCACGACAGCACTCTACAAAATGAAGACAGAACGAATAACAGTCAAGAAGGAAGGGTGGCACAGTAAGTTTTCGCCTACCGTCGACTGCCATCATCCCACAATTTGGAAATTCCTGGATGGTATTTTTGTCGAGCAGGCAATGATGGAGCAGTGTGTGGAGAGGGAAAATGCAGGTCATGAGGCTCCGAAGAAGGGGAGGAAGTATGAAGATCGGGACAAGCGATTCCGTACCATACTCCGGTCGTTTGAGACCGGGACGAAGGATGAGTTTCTACGAGGAGTTGCTGCGAACTTGGCATTTCATAATTATAATTATGTGATTCTTACAGGAAATTTCAAAGTTATTTTTTAGGGAAGGTCGCGTTATTATTATCTTATACGGGGTGATTTGGCATGGTTGTAAAGTGGCGTTTTTTCAGCCACTTCTAGGCAAGCTACTAGTACGTCCAAATGAATTGTTGCAGGTGGCGGTGCTATCCTTCATGCCCGTTGTGTCAAAAAATGGGAATGATCCCACTTTGGAAAGTGTCTTGTTAGATAATCACGACCGCCCCAACTCACTCCCGGACACGCACTCACAACAACGTCCACAACGAGTTCTTTGGCGAACAGTGTTCATATAATTATTGGAGAAGAAGCAGAGAATGTGGGAGAGCGAAAAGCACAAGTTTGTTCCACGGCCAACTCTAAAACTAACTGGAACTGATGTAGTTCTTCGTTGTACGCACTGTACGCATGAGAGCACGCCAGTTGCATGCCAGCGCGCAAGCGAGCAATGAACATGAAACGGACACCAGAAGTAACAGGATCTGGCGGTGACACAAAGTCAAAGGGAATGTATTACATGTCGGGAGACCATCAATGAGCCATGGTAGCCTGCGGGTGCAACAAGGAATGTAAGATAGAAGTTAGAGCAACGAATACCATGCATACTCTCACATCACCCCTTAGTGACTCATGTCACTACCGAATAGCTACAACATAATCATCAATATCGAGCAGGTCGCACAAGCGTAGACCGGTCGCGCAATGATGGGCCTGCAGCAGGCGGCGGCGTGACCGGGTCAACGCTCAATACCAGAGACGGAACAGGGCCCGACTCGGCTTCATCGCTGGCACCCGGAGCGACGGGCGGCGGGGGCGGCAGATCGTCCTCGGCGGCACGCCTTAATAAGTCGACATTCACGATCTTGTCACGGCCGGTGCCGTCGACCCGATGAACCACCACCGTCGAGGGGCCCACAATCGACATAACTTGCCAACCAGGCTCGTACGGGGTTAGGCGCTTCTGGCAGCGCTGAGGCCGGCGAAGCATGACAGCATCGCCAACAGTCAAGCGGCTCGGTGTCGGCTCGTCGATGAAGTCGAAGCGGCCGAGCGCAGACTCGACGTCAGGCGAAATAGCACGTCATAGTACATTCGAGATCAGCGGGAAGAAGATGACGACGTCCACTAATTTAGTATCTGTGCACACGATTCTGCTGTGTGTGTTACTCTGTGTGTCAGCTATGGCATCATCGCCTGTGGTTCCATGCCTAGCATGTACGTCTGAACCATCCTACAAAGTTTGAATGACGTAGGTTGAGCGATCGCTCCGCGAAACATACTTTTTGAAATTCTCTTCATAGTATATCTTCCACCATTGAAATTTCGAATTTCTTCGAATTTTTTGCTGAGAGGGGTGGCTTGCAACCTCGATATGGCTTGTTCCAGGCATGCTTTGGAGCCATCGCCTGTTGAAACAGTGGCGGGAAGCTGCCCTGCAACTGTTCCAGCAGGAAATTAATCGATCCGAGAAAGCGCGAGTCCGCGAATCTCAGTTGAATATTGAGTATTTCAAGCCTTTTCACGACGAAGATGGAGTTCTTTTTGGAGATGGATGTCGCGACAAAGGACATGGTGTCCGACTTCTGGCGTCTGGTGAAGCCAGGGATCATTTGTCCAGTCAGGTCGGCAGCCTAACCGTCGGTAAGCTTGTGTTTGGATCCCGTTCTGCTCGATGTGGTAGATCACAAACAATTTGATATCGCACAAATTCATCTCAGCATCGTGCGTACGGTATTTTATATTCAGAAAATCCCAAAGTGTCTCTGTGTGGCCGTCCTATGCCACGAGAAACTCCAATCAGGCTCCTATGTCCTCTGCCTTCATGATTGAATGTCCACTTCGTTTGAACAACGAACACAACAATCGAGGACGGCTTTGCAATGAAAAATACAGCTATACTAGAGCTGAAAAAAAGAAGAAAAAAACGGGCTCAGGATGAGACTCGAGTACACGCATACTCTCCCAGCAGGTGAAACGCAAATTTTTGTGAAAAATGTGTGACGCCGACTGACCAGTAATTTCGCCTGACGTGTAGTCTCGCATCGCCGCTGCCCGCTGCTGGAGGTCGTCTACCCATGAGCCAGCTGAATACGAGTGCTGAGGCCGATCCACGACCAAGCCACGGGGATGCCAACCAACCATGGCCTCCATCGGGGAGACGTTGGTGGCGCTGTGTGGCCGGATCCGATAGTAGTACAGGAGCATCGCCAGCTCCTGTTCCCAGTCGTGCGCCTCATCCAGAACCTTCCGCACGAGGGTCAACAGGGTTTGGTTGAACCTCTCAGCCACGCCTTGCGACTGGGGATGACGTGCCGCGCCGTAGCAGACATGAACGCCGAACGCCTCGTAGACGGAAGACATGACAGCGTTCTTGAACTCTGTGCCGTTGTCGGATCGAACCACGCGAGGAGGACCCCACCGAGAGCACACGTCGACGAAAGCTCTAGCCACACAGATGCCGTCATGACGCTTGAGGGGAACCACCTCGACCCACTTGGTGAATGCATCCACGCATACCAACACGCAGTGGTAACGCCCGGACCGGTTAACGCCGAGCTCGAGGGTATCGATGTGCACCACATCCCAGGGGCCGTTGGCTGATACCGGACGAGTGGGCTCGGTCGCCTCTCCGCGGCGTGGGTTGGCGGCTTGACAGCTGCTGCATCCGGACACAAACGCTTGGCAGCGCTGTCCCATGCCCAAGAAATGGCACTGGGATCGAAGCAACTGCCACGTCGCCTCCCAGCCACTATGGCCAGACACCTGGTGGGCTGCACGCACGGCCTGCTCCTCCAGCGCAGCAGGAAGCACAGGAACGCACTTGACGTCGTTCGGCGGAAGCTTGACGCTGCGCTGCAAGACGCCGTCTTGAACTTGCAGCTGACCGCGGATGTTCCGGAAGCCGCTGTCAGGCGGGAGGTCGTCCCCAGCGATCACTGCGGCCTTCGCTGCCTGGAGTGCACCGTCGTCCTCCTGCCCGGCCAGGATCTCGGCCATCGACAGACTCGGCATGATGGCGAGGCTGGCAGCAACATCCGTCACGCTGTTATCCGATGTGCAGGCCAGCCAGGACGTCGGAACGCGCGTGAGCTGGTCGGAGAGGTTCTGTTCTGACGGAACCCAGTCCACCTCCACGTCAAGGCGAGCTGTTGCGACGATGTCGTCAATGATCTGCAACCGACGCTTGACGAGCAGCTCGTGGAGCCCGCCAACCTTCACGCGGCGCTCGTTCCCGAGGATCTGACGAAGCCAGCCATGCACGGTCTTGGAATCCGTGTGGAGGCGGATCTTCCGCGCAGGCCAATTGGCAGCCGCGTTGAGGCCCTTGATGACGGCGTCCAACTCAGCGATGTTGATATGCCGTTTGTCGTCAGCCGGGCGCAGCCAGCTGCGGTCCTCGATGACCTCGCCGTTGACTTGCACCACGACACCCAGCGCGATTCCCGACGCATCGCACCACACGTGCCACTCCGTTGCGTCGTCATGCTGCACCGACCATACGCCACGCACCGGATCGTGCTCGTTGACTTGGGTCTGGATGTCGCGGCAGAGCTGCAGCAGACGAGGTGGCACGGCGATATCCCAGCCGACGGATTCGCCGATCATCCGCTTCAGCCAATTCGTCGTCGGTCGCAGCCACGCACAGACGGGGTAATGGCTGACGAGCTTGCCACACCAGCTGAACACGGCGCGACGTTGAGGCCGAACCCCATGCGCGTCATGGCAAACAACTCTCCTTGCCACACGATCGCTTGATAGCGGTACAGACGGGGAGCCATCCGGATCTGGAGGTACGCCTTGCTCAGATCAAGGAGGGCGCTATCACCGTCCCCGAGTCGCCACTCGCGCAGCTTCTGGCCGCAAGCCGGCGCATCCAGGCCTGGGTGCGACACAAGACACTCATTCAGAGCGCGGTAGTCTAAGCACGGCCGCACGGGAGTTGACGCCTTGTGAGCCTGGTCGACAGCCATCAGTGGAAGAACACAGGCCGGTTCACCGAACGCTTCACGGTCGTACGGGACCAGCCAGCCGTTCTCGCGCCACATCTGGACCTCCTTGACGAACTGCTGCTCTTGCTCTGGGTTGAGTTTCTTGCGCGGATATTCTCCAACACCAGAACCAAGAGGAAGAGACGGCTCCGTGTCGGCTTTCCATCGCCAGGTGGCTTCCCAGAAGCCTAGGTCGTCGCGCCAGGTTGCCTCAATGTCGTCCATCCGCAGCGTGACCTGGCCATCGCCGTCGCTGACCGAGATATGCCGTGACAGCTTCTCCGTGGCAGCCGCCACGCCGGCCGAGGCGACGTCACGTGCGGGGCCGAATACAACAGACGATAACTGGCCTCCCGGCTGATCATGGGAGATGCTGACACCACCAACTTGGGACACGATGTCCGATCCGATCACGATATCGGTGTTGAGGGCGTCGAGGTTCGGCACGACGAGCAACGAAACCTTGATCGTCGGTAGGTAGACCGAGCCATCCTCGCGCTTCAGCGTCATGTCCACGCTGCCGGTGACGTCCAAGGGTGTGCCGTCCACCGTGATCAGCCGGTCGCTGGTCTCCTTCAGGCTGGACTGCATACCCAGCTGCTGGACAACTGGCCACTCGATCAGGGACCGAGTGCAACCCGTGTCGACAACCGACGCTTGGCGGCTCCAATGCGCGTTTTCGACCTGCACCTCCACTGCAACTCGAATCAGCTGCGACGAAGGCCGGGGCATAGCCAGGCAGAAATCCGTCCGCGGGTGCGACGCTGCCGGGGCTGGTGCTGTGGCGGCCACACGTCCAGAATCTGACCTCTGAGGACAGTCTTTCCTCAGGTGGCCCACCTGATGACAGCGATAGCACGTGGGTCCACTCCTCTTGGCTGGAGCATCCGTGGTCGTCCTTGGCCAAGTCGACTGCGGGGGCCCACCGCCGCCACCGCGCTGTCCACCGCCACCGCGCTGTCCACCGCCACCGCGCTGTCCACCGCCACGACGCTGCTGATTCGGGCAGCTACGGCGCATGTGACCCACTTGGCCACAGCCATAGCACATCAGCGACTGACTCTGGGGCGGGGGACCAGATCGGGCTGCAGCCACCGCCTGAGCGACCCCTGCCGCTGACTGCATCGTCCTCACCTGTCCAGTCAGCTCCGCGACGGTAAGGCTCTTCATGGCGTTGGCCAGCCGGACGGTTTTCCCATACTCGTGTGGTAGACCGCTGATCAACTGCTCCACGAGCAACGGGTCTTTCCCATCCGCAGCAACCTTGTGGCCTGACAATGTCAGCAGGCGCGTCAGGTCTGCTACGTAGGCGTCGACAGGCTCATCCAGGGCCAGCTGCCGCCCTACGAATAGATGGTAGGACTCCGCCGGGCTGGGCGCGAACGCAGCCTCCAAAGCAGCCTTCACCGCCGCGGTCTTCTTCCGATCCTCTGCGGACAACTGGTCAAACACCAGGAACGCCGGACCATCCAGCAACAATGGCAGATGCGCCATCTGTTTTTCCTCCGAGTCCCATTTGTGCAGTTCTCCAAGGACCAGGAACTTAGACCAAAACGCAGCAAGGTTATCACCTTTTCCACGAAACGGCCGAACAAAACTATCAAACTTCAACGTCGACATCGTATTGCACACTGCTACTCCACCAAACCGGGTTTCGGCACCAAGCTGTTAGATAATCACGACCGCCCCAACTCACTCCCGGACACGCACTCACAACAACGTCCACAACGAGTTCTTTGGCGAACAGTGTTCATATAATTATTGGAGAAGAAGCAGAGAATGTGGGAGAGCGAAAAGCACAAGTTTGTTCCACGGCCAACTCTAAAACTAACTGGAACTGATGTAGTTCTTCGTTGTACGCACTGTACGCATGAGAGCACGCCAGTTGCATGCCAGCGCGCAAGCGAGCAATGAACATGAAACGGACACCAGAAGTAACAGGATCTGGCGGTGACACAAAGTCAAAGGGAATGTATTACATGTCGGGAGACCATCAATGAGCCATGGTAGCCTGCGGGTGCAACAAGGAATGTAAGATAGAAGTTAGAGCAACGAATACCATGCATACTCTCACAGTCTTTATCATGCCCTACTTTCATAGTATTCTCAGGATTCAAATCATTGGTGTGTCATTATTAAATTTTAACAAATGTGTAAAATGGCATCACAAACTGAGATATTCGGTCATCAATGTTCTGAATTTGATAGATATCACTTCAAGGAATGCTAGTGGATGAAAAGTAATCTGTCAACTGCATTGTACCGGTATGCTGTGAAAGCTGTGTTTTGAACTAGTGCCTGTGTCATACGGTAGAATTGGATAGGTAGCATAGCATCGCAGCCATGTTTTCGTTCTCGCAGAGTGTATTCCTGTTACCTACTGTTCTTCATTATTGTCTTTAGTGATAGCAAGACGGCCTGACCTCATCCAAAGGCCCTGCGGAAGCAATTCACTGCCCCCCTCGTCCATTCAGGGGCTTATTTTACACATAAAATGGCAAAGCACCCACCACCATTAATATTTTAGTATACCGACGTGGCAGGGAGAATTAACTTACATGCACCCAATTTTCTGGTCAATATATATATATATATATTTTTTTAATGTTTATTTGAATTCGGATAGCTCAACAGTACAGAAGTACAACTACAAAGACTGTACCGAATAGAAGGCCCTGAGAACGGGAAACGAAAAAAAAAAAACCAAAACAGCAACATCAATTTACTGATTTATGCACATTGCTTGAAAGCAAATCACAACAATGATTAATGTTGATCTACGATAAAGTGGCTCTCATTTGCCACCACCCATGTTTCGATACAGCTATCCGGAGCAGAGAAACAGCCAGAAGAAAAGCAAATTTTACACACCGTTTGTTAAAAAATGCCGAATGTTTAAAAAAAAGCCAAATCACCTAGTACATTGTAGGTTTTTACTAGCCTCGGAGTCGGACCAACCCCCACAGACTCCAGGTACTAGGTCTTCATTGCACCATTTAAGACCGTGATAAATAAGGTTAAGGACGCTGTGTGTCCTCGCTGTGAGTTGTCGACACTAGGGACCTTTCGCATTTGCTACGAAACGAATGCGAAACGAAACTTTGATTCGGCTCGTAATCGTTTCGTTGAAAACAGATTGCAGGTTTCGCAAGTCGTCATGCAAATGTGCATGGCAACTACGAATACGGCCGCGGGCGCCGGTAGCTTGGCGTACGGGTTTTTACACGCACACGTGCATGGATCATGGAATCAAGGGAAAAATGTGTACCTTGCCAAACATGTGTACCTATCCAAATAAATGTGTACCTGACGGATTCGGAGCGTGCCACGAATGAAGAGGCCTCCATTCGTGAAAACGAGTTCTCCGCAGGGACTCTGACGAATCCTCGAGCCCAGGTGACGAATCAGCATTCGTTTCGTATCCGTCTGCGGGGTGCGAAAGGTCCCTACTGTGAGAGAGCGATGCGACGCGATCTGCGATGGATGCGTGCGATGCGAACTCGCGAAATACCATTCACAGAAGAAGTCAGCGATGCGACAAAGTTTTGCTGATTTGGGTACGTCACCATGATATTCGCGCGGTTTGACACAACTTGTAAAAATTTATAGGCAACTCTTGCACCTTTGTACAACTTTGCTGTAGAAAAGGTCAAAATCGTACACCAAATCGCTTGTCGCATCGCATCGCATCGCAAAAGTTGAGCCAAGCTCAACTTCTGCGATGGCATGCGATGGCCCAGTTGCGTCAGTTGCGTGGGGTGCGACATGGCTGCGATTTGGGGTTTTCCCGGTTTCGCGCCTGTCGCATCGCGTGTCGCATCACAAAAAAGCTTCTGTGAATCCCGCTTCAAGCGGGATTCACAGAAGCTTTTTTGTGATGCGACACGCGATGCGACAGGCGCGAAACCGGGAAAACCCCAAATCGCAGCCATGTCGCGGCCCACGCAACTGCCGCAACTGGGCCATCGCAGAAGTTGAGCTTGGCTCAACTTTTGCGATGCGATGCGATGCGACAAGCGATTTGGTGTACGATTTTGACCTTTTCTACAGCAAAGTTGTACAAAGGTGCAAGAGTTGCCTATAAATTTTTACAAGTTGTGTCAAACCGCGCGAATATCATGGTGACGTACCCAAATCAGCAAAACTTTGTCGCATCGCTGACTTCTTCTGTGAATGGTATTTCGCGAGTTCGCATCGCACGCATCCATCGCAGATCGCGTCGCATCGCGTGTCGCATCGCAAAAAAGCTTCTGTGAATCCCGCTTTTAAGCCCGATTCACAATACAACTTTCTGCGACGCGACACGCGATTTGCGACAGTTGCGACAAGAAACTGCCTGTCGCGAGCTGTCGCAACCTGTCGCAAGCTGTCGCAATGCACCTGTCGCAGAAGTTGAAGAAAGTTCAACTTTTGCGACATGCGACACGCGACATACACAAATGCAGCTAAAATGGAGTACAGTTTCGACCCTGGGTGCACGTGCAGTGCACGTGCATAGTACTACTTGTGCATGAGGATGTCGCAAACATGAAGAACATTGTGAACCGTGTGTCGCTGTCGCAGCTCGTCGCATGTGTCGCAAGTCGCATGTCGCGTCGCAGAAAGTTGTATTGTGAATCGGCCTTAAGGCCGATTCACAATACAGCCCGATTCACAATACAACTTTCTGCGACGCGACATGCGACTTGCGACACATGCGACGAGCTGCGACAGCGACACACGGTTCACAATATTCTTCATGTTTGCGACATCCTCATGCACAAGAAGTACTATGCACGTGCACTTCACGTACACTGCACGTGCACCCAGGGTCGAAACTGTACTCCATTTCAGGCATTTGTGTATGTCGCGTGTCGCATGTCGCAAAAGTTGAACTTTCTTCAACTTCTGCGACAGGTGCATTGCGACAGCTTGCGACAGCTCGCGACAGGCAGTTTCTTGTCGCAACTGTCGCAAATCGCGTGTCGCGTCGCAGAAAGTTGTATTGTGAATCGGCCTCGGGATTCACAGAAGCTTTTTTGCGATGCGACACGCGATGCGACGCGATCTGCGACGGACGCGTGCGATGCGAACTCGCGAAATACCATTCACAGAAGAAGTCAGTGATGCGACAACATCTTGCTGATTTGGCTACGTCACCATGATATTCGCGCGGTTTGATACAACTTGTACAAATTTATAGGCAACTCTTGCACCTTTGTACAACTTTGCTGTAGAAAAGGTCAAAATCGTACGCCAAATCGCTTGTCGCATCGCATCGCATCGCAAAAGTTGAGCCAAGCTCAACTTCTGCGATGGCCTGCGATGGCGCAGTTGCGTCAGTTGCGTAGGGTCCGCAATGGTTGCGATTTGGGGATTTCCCGGTTTCGCGGCTGTCGCATCGCGTGTCGCATCGCAAAAAAGCTTCTGTGAATGCGACAGCCGCGAAACCGGCTGAAGTTGAGCTTGAAGTTGAGCTTGGCTCAACTTTTGCGATGCGATGCGATGCGACAAGCGATTTGGCGTACGATTTTGACCTTTTCTACAGCAAAGTTGTACAAAGGTGCAAGAGTTGCCTATAAATTTGTACAAGTTGTATCAAACCGCGCGAATATCATGGTGACGTAGCCAAATCAGCAAGATGTTGTCGCATCACTGACTTCTTCTGTGAATGGTATTTCGCGAGTTCGCATCGCACGCGTCCGTCGCAGATCGCGTCGCATCGCGTGTCGCATCGCAAAAAAGCTTCTGTGAATCCCGCTTTAAACTTAAAGGCCGATTCACAATACAACTTTCTGCGACGCGACATGCGACTTGCGACGCATGCGACGAGCTGCGACAGCGACACACGGTTCACAATATTCTTCATGTTTGCGACATCCTCATATCATGCACAAGTAGTACTATGCACGTGCACCGCACGTACACTGCACGTGCACCCAGGGTCGAAACTGTACTCCATTTGTGTATGTCGCGTGTCGCATGTCGCAAAAGTTGAACTTTCTTCAACTTCTGCGACAGGTGCATTGCGACAGCTTGCGACAGCTCGCGACAGGCAGTTTCTTGTCGCAACTGTCGCAAATCGCGTGTCGCGTCGCAGAAAGTTGTATTGTGAATCGGCCTTAATTTTTTAAGGCCGATTCACAATACAACTTTCTGCGACGCGACATGCGACTTGCGACGCATGCGACGAGCTGCGACAGCGACACACGGTTCACAATATTCTTCATGTTTGCGACATCCTCATATCATGCACAAGTAGTACTATGCACGTGCACCGCACGTACACTGCACGTGCACCCAGGGTCGAAACTGTACTCCATTTTTTTTTTTGGATTGGATTTTTATTTAGGGCCTGGTCAGACTGCGGCAACTTTTGGTTGCCTGACGAAAAAAGAACAGCGTCCAGAATTTGAATCGCGATCACACTACACATGTGGGGAGAATGAAAATTCAAACTTCATTTCGAGCGTCAAGTGGTAATCTCCACGAACGACGTCAAATTCCTTCACCTTGGGATCGCCAACACCTTCAGTGCAATCCTTGCAACCATCCTTATGAGTTTTGTTGTTGTCCGTGGCCAATTAGCTCCTCGATATCGAGATGAAAAAATCAGTGATTATCAGCGTCAATGGCGTATCAGCGTCAAATCCTGTTTGGAGCGGAAAAGCGTGGCCCGTTCTTGCTTTTTTTTTGGAGCGTCAACTCTCGCTTTTGCCGCTCTGGCGGCATGTTACTATGGAGATTCGGATTATAATCCTAGGATTATTTCGATTTTGCCGCAGTCTGACCAGGCCCTTATAGTGGTGACTATAACAGACAATTGCCTAATAACAATAGACCCACTCGAGGGAAAGATGCAAAAAGATATGAATAATTAATATAATAATAGACTACCGGTATTGGATAGGTGATCATGTTCGCATTTTGCATAGCTGAAAGTCATAATTACTAGCGTGAAAAAGCAAGGCATTGGGGTAACAGTTTCTTAAAACGGGCGGAGTTATCCACACAGCGAGCTAGAGGGTGCAAATCATTCCACAGCTTAGCACATTGGAAGGAAGCGCCATGACGGGCAAAGGCAGTTCTGAGCATGGGCAACTTAAGAGTGCGTGATGTCGCGTGTCGCATGTCGCAAAAGTTGAACTTTCTTCAACTTCTGCGACAGGTGCATTGCGACAGCTTGCGACAGCTTGCGACAGCTCGCGACAGGCAGTTTCTTGTCGCAACTGTCGCAAATCGCGTGTCGCGTCGCAGAAAGTTGTATAGTGAATCGGCCTTTAGTTGACCATGGTTGACGACACTGTGAGTTGTCTCGCTGTGAGTTGTCGCGCTGTGAGCTGTCTCGCCGTGACCGGTGACCTGTCGACGGCCACTGTACAAAAAAAAAGAATAAAAAGGTTAAAGCGGGATTCACAGAAGCTTTTTTGCGATGCGACACGCGATGCGACGCGATCTGCGATGGATGCGTGCGATGCGAACTCGCGAAATACCATTCACAGAAGAAGTCAACGATGCGACAAAGTTTTGCTGATTTGGGTACGTCACCATGATATTCGCGCGGTTTGACACAACTTGTAAAAATTTATAGGCAACTCTTGCACCATTGTACAACTTTGCTGTAGAAAAGGTCAAAATCGTACACCAAATCGCTTGTCGCATCGCATCGCATCGCAAAAGTTGAGCCAAGCTCAACTTCTGCGATGGCCTGCGATGGCCCAGTTGCGGCAGTTGCGTGGGGTGCGACATGGCTGCGATTTGGGGTTTTCCCGGTTTCGCGTCTGTCGCATCGCGTGTCGCATCGCAAAAAGCTTCTGTGAATCCCGCTTAAAAGGCCGATTCACAATACAACTTTCTGCGACGCGACACGCGATTTGCGACAGTTGCGACAAGAAACTGCCTGTCGCGAGCTGTCGCAAGCTGTCGCAAGCTGTCGCAATGCACCTGTCGCAGAAGTTGAAGAAAGTTCAACTTTTGCGACATGCGACAAGCGACATACACAAATCGAGTACAGTTTCGACCCTGGGTGCACGTGCAGTGCACGTGCATAGTACTACTTGTGCATGATGATGTCGCAAACATGAAGAATATTGTGAACCGTGTGTCGCTGTCGCAGCTCGTCGCATGCGTCGCAAGTCGCATGTCGCGTCGCAGAAAGTTGTATTGTGAATCGGCCTTAAGCGGGATTCACAGAAGCTTTTTTGCGATGCGACACGCGATGCGACGCGATCTGCGATGGATGCGTGCGATGCGAACTCGCGAAATACCATTCACAGAAGAAGTCAGCGATGTGACAAAGTTTTGCTGATTTGGGTACGTCACCATGATATTCGCGCGGTTTGACACAACTTGTAAAAATTTATAGGCAACTCTTGCACCTTTGTACAACTTTGCTGTAGAAAAGGTCAAAATCGTACACCAAATCGCTTGTCGCATCGCATCGCATCGCAAAAGTTGAGCCAAGCTCAACTTCTGCGATGGCCCAGTTGCGGCAGTTGCGTGGGCCGCGACATGGCTGCGATTTGGGGTTTTCCCGGTTTCGCGCCTGTCGCATCGCGTGTCGCATCACAAAAAAGCTTCTGTGAATCCCGCTTTAATGATTGCAAAACAAAAGAATAAAAGTTGTGCACGCACGTCCAACGCGTATAACGACGTCGACGCGCGGGACGTCGACGTATAAATATTATACGTATACGCGTAGATCTACGAGATGAGATCTATCTAGCTACGTTTGCTCCTGCCATGCCTGAGTCCCCTGCATGCTGTGCTAGTGGCGGCGGAGGCACGCATCCAGTGAACCTGCACAGTGCAGTGATCCTACTGAGTGACAGACTCTGTAAATACTGTATTTTTATTATGATGATTCGTTTTTATGTGTTGATTCTTCACAAAATGTGTTATTTTGCCCGTACAAGAGGCTCAGTTTTCCGTGTGAAAAAAAAAAAAAAAAATCTAGCTACGCGTAGATCCACTCTACGTTACGTCGTAGCATGCTCGAGCTACAGAGCGCTCGATTCTTTTTAGCAGAAAAAATAATAAGAGAATAAAGATTTATATAATCGCACAAGATAGCAATAATTAGTACATGTACGAGTGGCAGCAAATGAAATGTAATGAAGTAGATGAGAGAAATCCTATCGGGTCGTTTATTTGAAGTAATAATAGGGCGACAAGCTTCCTACATTCAATGATGGTATTTTCTTGGGACGAGACCCTAGATCTGTGCAAAGCCTTGCCGATGTTTTTCCTGGTGCCTTTTTGTATGGTGGCTGTGCTGTCTAGCGGCGTGGAATCGTCGTATGAATTCGATGTGTTTCGCATGTATCAATACGAACTCCACGGACAATCTTATGGTGAGAACATGCTTCCCGCATGCCTGAGCGCATGTGTGTGCGCGCGCGCGCGTGTGTGTGTGTGTGTGTGTGTGTGTGTCATAATGGAAAAAAAATGAAAAATAGGGATTCACTGGCCAGAAAAAGCCACTTCAATCAGCTGTGTGGTGGATACCAGGCTAAAATTAGTGGCGGTCAATTCATCAGCCTTGCAAGCTGTTGAATGGTGTAATCCCAGCACAAGTTGCTATGCCCAGGGGCGTCATCGGACCCCTTCACAGGGGGGTGCACAGGAATTTTGCACAGGAAAACACGAAAAAGTTCGGGGATAGTGAGCTGGCCAGACGCTTTCCTTTTTCGAGAAGACGACATTTGGAGAGGAAACAGCTCCAAAGACTCTTCAAGTGTGGTGACCTGACTAACTAACTTGCGACCACACTGAATTATTTAATTTTCTTCTGTTTCAAACAAACACCCAGCACGCCGCCGCGCGTGTAGATTCTAGTACACTCATACCTCGTTTATCCGGGCAGTCCGGGACCTTGCACTGCCCGTAACTTTGAAATGTCCGTAACTCCGAATCATATACATCTTGATGGGGAAAAGGCCATCGATATGGCATATGACGTCAATATTTCTACGAAAAGTGACAAAAGAGTAGTAATATTTCCCCTGAAACTCGCCCAAATAGTGCCCGGTAGACCGAAGTGCCCGTAACTTCGGGGTCCGGATAACCGAGGTATGAGTGTACAAGGCCAAAGGATAGTTGCTTGTAACAAGGCCAAAGGATGCAGCGCTGCGCACACGTACACGGGCGTAGTGAGTATCACTAGTACAATCGGTCATGTACATGCACTCGCTACATGCACTCACGCGATCACGGCAGACAAGTATAGTTTTAGTGCATGCAGTTTATTAGTAGATTCTACCAGCACTACACTTTTCATAACCAGGAGTTCGCAAAAAACCAAGGTCGATTTTTTTAGGGGGGTGCACGTGCCCACCGTGCCCATCACGGGTGACGCCCCTGATGCCTAACATAGCTGTTCGCTATCATCGCTTCCGCGATGGGCAGGTCTGAGGTCTGAGGTGTGTGTGTCTTATTGTGATTTCTATAGCCGTTGAACATGAAATGTACATGGCCATACGCCTGTGGGGAGTGGCTCGATATGCTGCAGGTCGTTCTGCTCTCCCTCCCTGTACAGTTCATCAATCATCACGTAACAATACTGGTATATCGTATTCAAATCCCTCCCGTTTGTTCTCAGGACTGGCCAAAAAATCCAACCTCATGAATAAAATGGCGCCGGGCGCTACCCAGCCCTAGCACTACACACACTAGTCTGTGCACTCGAACGCGGCGCTACTTTATTCATGAGGTTGGATTTCTCTGGCCTGCACTGTATTATCTTATTATGTACTGCCATAGCCACTTCTTGCCCCACCCTTTGCAGGGGCGTCGGAGACGGTACGGTCACTACGGTATTGACCGTACCACTTTTTGCCCCAGGTACCCCGTGAATCAATAAAATACACTGATCTGGACTCTAAATTTCCAAAATTTTCGGCTCAGCCACCCCTCCCCACACGAGTAACTTGTACTTCAGATTGCTGACCGTACCACACTAAAATACCTTCCGACGCCCCTGCTTTGCCATCATTTTATTGGGTCGTCATCCCGTTTGAATGTGCCAAGTTAACTAGAAACCAACCGAAACCAACCAACCCTGTCCACCGGTATCACCCAATACCGTACACGTGGAATTAGTGCCCAGGAGCACTATTTTTTTGAAGTCCATCACAGACGTTGCATTATTCAAGAGTTGGCACTACCATAAAGTACCGCGAGAGCGCCCCACCATCTCGTCCGCCCGTGGTCGTCTTGTGGAGGTGGTCTCCTGTCTTTAGGTCATACGACACGGACCTTGTTACGTACACACATTGCATGTTGTGAAGTCAATCCCTACTCAATTAACCCTCGGGCGGACACGAGCTCCACACATAAACCTGCTAAGTGTGACCTTGGTACACTAAGAAAGCTATGCGACTGCACACAGTCCGCATGGACATGGAAAACATGGTGCCTTGTCAACCTGTCCCCACAGGATACCGCGATTCCGCGGACGCGCAATTTTCCGCGCTATTGGTTTTCATCCGCGTTTTCGAGAAATTTTGCATAAAACCCGCTTTATCCATGGGAATGTACAAGTACAAGAAAACAGTACATGATGTTGAAATGTACTACAAAGTCGTACACGCCCATGAGTTGTACGGCAAAGTTGTACATGTGCATGCAACTTTATGCTAAATTTGTACCAGCGACAGACAACTCTTGCATACCGGTAAGGACCGCATTATAAGTTATATATAACGCATATTTGCCGCATAATCCCGCATAATTATGCGCATAATTTTAGGATTTTGTCCACGTTATTCTGTGACTGTGGGGACAGGTCAACCAAGCAAAATGCCGTAGCAAAATAAATCGAACCGAAATTCAAGCTACAAACAGTATTGAGCAGGACGAAGAAAGAGACTTAAAGGATGAGAAAACGAAAAGGGTTTCGTCTGTTGGTGGGCGCTTGCACGCGATGCCAGGTGACAGCAAACTCTGTCGGACACTAGAGTAACTCCGCACTGGAACTATAATCGCAGTGAAAACACAACTCTTCACGTAATTTATTCTAGAAAAAATCCTGGTCTGTTCAGCGTCATTTGTCTCATATACACAGTATAGAACTTGACTGTGTCGTGAACGTAATCAATCGTGATCAACTCCTACTATGCATGCACCTATGAAGCTGAGATTATTCATGTCCAAATAAACCTGGAATTATTCCAGCGAAACTGAAACAATGCGACCATCACAAATTACAACTAAATTAACACTTCGGAACTGGTGGTTTGTAACAACGAGCCCGGGAGTGCCAGGGAGGAGGGGGGGGGGGGGGGCACTATTCAGGAGGGCTTCAAATTTTCACTGGCTCTCAGAGACAGGGACACAATTCGACACAGGGTACTATTCAAGAGAGAGAGAGGAGAGAGAGAGAGAGAGAGAGAGAGAGAGAGAGAGAGAGAGAGAGAGAGAGAGAGAGAGAGAGAGAGAGAGAGAGAGAGAGAGAGTGCGGTAGGTTACTTCTACCTAGAGCTAAGTATGGTACAGTCAATAAATGAAGCTAGTGAAGTCACCTCAGATCCTCTTTAATTTTGGTATTGGGTTTGAAAGTGCTACGTCCCGCCAGCCCGGTGGCATGATAACGCTGGCTTGACCCACTATGGATTCATTCAGGGATCACTCCTGCACCTGCATGCGACAGGAGGGGCACACCCACCAGGTACTGTACTTCATCATGGGCCGTGTGGATCCAAAATTTGTTATTTTGTCATTACGGACCATCTGTAAATACCGACATTTATTCCCGTAGCTATGCAAAAGACGTTACTGCTTACGTAACGTCTGGCGCTAGCCAGGGTCCACACAGCTTCAATTCCGTTTGTATGTTTGTGCCCGACGACGTCGGCATGCCTGGCGCTATCCCGTACATATCCCGTACCGTACCATCAAAGACAGCTGGCCACGTTATTCAAATAGGGCGTTCAACTGCAAGATCATAACGTGCAGCAACTTGGAAGAATGTGTACGTATGCGAAGTGTATCGGAGGAATGCATGCAGGGCGAGAGTACGAGTTTGAATCCCATATTGTGCCTTGAGAAAATTGAGGAAATGAAAAAAATATAACATCGCTATGCTTTTTTGCCTAGGTCATCAAGGTTACAGTGTCGCATTATCAGTGGAATGTTTTTAGGTGTGCTGCTAATGGGCCGGGGATGTAAGGATCGGTAGATTGCAGTGTTTTAATGGGTGCGGTTGTTGTATACATGGAATGCTGAGATCATTAACAGAGAACTATGAGGAATAGCAAAATGACAGGGGCGACAGTGTTGAAGCTCTGATCAGATGGCGTCGGCAGGAGTGCCTACACAGAGAGTAGAAGATGGGAGAAGAGAGGTCCCGCCCCCCCCCCCCCCCCCCCCCCCTCGACAGTCGCTGTGTTTGCAAAAGGCTAAGCCGACAACAAGAAACAACGGAGAAAACATCCGTCGTTTGGAGACTCGTCGACTTTGTGAAAAGATGCGTCGACAGCAAGAGACTGCTGAACAGGCATCCAGTTGGCTGGAGAAAAGACGTGGTCATGCCCAAACGTGTTCCGTATGCGGTGACTGCGATCCATATGCATAGGGCCATCATCTATGCAATATATGCCGCATGCAAAAGACGTTAGGGGCTATTCGGCATTATCGATAATTTTCGCGAAACGAAAAAGTTAAGTTACGACCCTCCCCTCCCCTGAACGAAAAAATAGATTAACTTGACAGCAAGAATGCCTTCATGTCTCGCATATCAATATTTTTCGTAACGAAACTTCCCTTGACCCACCCACCCATAAACGAAACTTTTTCTCTTCGTGTAAAAGATTGATAATTATGGACGGTCCCTTACTGTATCGGCTACAATTTGTAGGGCCCTGAGCTTTAAAGCTCTCTCGTTTAGAAACGGCAACTAGTCATTAATTTTTCTTTTCAACCCCTCCCCCTTCCTGAGAAACGAACACATACAAGTGGTACATAGTATCGATATTATTTTTCTGGACGTGCCCACACAAACAAACTGTGCATCGATATTTTTTCAAAAAAACGAACAGGCGCTTTAACCCTTTCCCAGAAACGACTAGTTTTCGTTTCTAAATAAATATCTATATTATCTATACTCAATCTTCTCAATTATCTATCATTACTGTTTTCTGATGATCGCTTAGGGGTCGTCCACAAATATCGATATTTTTTTAGAGAAGATATTCGTTTGTTTGGGGGAGGGGGTTTGGGCCCTGTTCGTCTCGTCTTTGCAGAACAAAATATCGAACTCTATCTATGGACGGACGCTGTTCGAACATGTAGTTTATGACCTACACAAAGTGAAAGTCAACCTCGTGAGCATAGCCATGGCAAGGTTGTGCGACCGTGGCAACATAAACCTAGGTGTATGTATGGTGAAATTAGAGTGGCAGCTGGTCACGCTTCATGAGGAAATTGAACTTCATTAAAAAATATCGATCCCTTGCATAAACATGTGTATGTTCGTTTTGAGGGGGTCTGGGAAGAAATGAACAAATATCGTCTTGAAAAAAACATCGATATTTAGTACGGACGGCCCCTTAGTGCATGAAACTCAGAGTTAAAACACTTTCTCTGTTAAAACACTTTCTCTGTCCTCTTATTGTTTGTTTTAAATAACGAAAACTAGTCATTTCTTTTCAACCCCTCCCCCCTTCCAGAGAAACGAACACATACAAATGGTACATAGTATCGATATTTTTTTCTGGACGTACCCACACAAACAAACTGCATTGATATTTTTCAACAAAAAAAAACAGGCGCTCAGCCCTCTCCCCAAAGCGACTAGGTTTCGTTTCTCAGTAAATACGTGAAGTATCTATATTTACGGACTTCTCATGTCATCGCTTTCAAGCCATATATGTACACTAGCAGTTGCAGTATCAGTTATCACTGGGGTTGGGACGAAACTTGCTACAGTTGGAACACGGAACAGACCATTTTTCTCTGCGGCCAGGACCTCACTCACTTGCCGCGCACTGCAGGTGTGAGCGCTTGTGCGTTGTATCTGCCCCTGTGCACTATGATGAATTGGCGACAGTGAGAAAGAAACGGCTGAAATGAAAACCTGGTAGCGGCTGGGTTTGGATTTCTGACAACAACAAAACGTACGTTGTACAACACTGTTAGTGCCCACTCTCGTGACGTCGACCTTGTTATCGTGTACCCACCATGATGACGGTGGGTTTTACGGCGCACACTTTTCTGTCCCTAACCTTCCGCGCGGATATACCGCATCATATGTTGTCATGGTAAGGGGCTTGGCCCACTTGAATGCACAGCGGGCCCAGTTTTGACAGCTGTCTGTTGCTGTTGCTGGTGCTGATTTATCGCTTTAGGTTGCCACGGCAGCCAAGTCAATATGGAGGCACGCACATCGTCTGCCCAGCAGCTGCATCGACGCTGCGTTGTGTCTCACTTAAACAATCTGTCTATTGAGTCGTTCCGTGATCTCATCGACCGCGGAGCTGGCTCCATCCTTGTCATTGTGCCACCGAAGTCAAGCTGGGATGGGTCAGCAGCCAAGGTATGGTTTTGACGGACGTACAGTACGAACGGGGGGTAGTGGGGTCCAATATCTAGTGCGACTTTTTCATCTGGCCTCTCTGGAGATTGAGGCGCGTGATGTGTTTATGTTTAATAGGGAGTTTTAAAAACTATTCTTTGCAAGCTAAGGGCGCGTTTGGTTGGTACGAACTAGAACAGATTCACCAGAACAGCGCGTTTGGTTGGGACTGCACCTGTTCTGGGTCGGCCAGAACATGTTCTGCTTGCTCCGGCCTCGAGGCCAGAGCAGACCAAGCAGTTTCACTTTTTCACAGTGAAACCTGGCGGGAACATCGATTTTGGTCCCAAATGATCACGTGCATACGCTTTTGGGTTGGACTCGCCGTACCGTACACAGTGACCATGGTGACCCATACACATTTTGAAGAATGCACCAAGTTTGGCATATTTTTCACAAAAAATTTGCTCTGTTTCTGGAGTACCATTTGGTTGGCATGAGGCTGCCTCATGAATTTCTGCCTGTGCGCGATGTCAAACTATGGTGTAGCACGCACGTATGCACAGCTGTATGCAATACGTGCCCGTGCAGGTATGCCTGTGGATGAAAATGTGCATAATCCAGCGCAGCAAGTTAAATCTTCCGAGTAGCCGTCCATAGTATAGCACATGGGAGCCTTGATGCTGTTCCGAACCCATGCCATAAAGCCAGCCGGGAAGCGACACAGCATGTGTGTGTGTGGGGGGGGGGGGGGGGGGGTCAACGGTGCTTTACCATACTGCATGTGGAACAGGAACTGGATGTTGAGGAAGATGAGAGCTTTTCCATGGCATGGCCAAGCGCGTCTGTGCGGGCTGCGCGTAGATTGGCTTCAGGCACGTCTTTCTACGTTGCCTGGACGCTCGCATTTCCTCTGTTAGTGTGGTTGTCGAGAAATGGTCCTGCCCGTACAGGCGCATCCTAGCAGTAGAGTGTGTTCATAGAGTGCTGTTCTATTCAGCCACTATCCCAATAATTATGAGCCGTCAGATGCGGAAACCAACCTTAAGGCCAAAAAATCGTATTTGTGTTAGTGGTACTATCTGAATGCCAGGAGCATCAGGAGTCGTATGCAGAAAACTGGAGTTGATTTGGACGAAGGGAAGTAAAGTTATAGCCTCTACAAAAGGAGACCATTACAAAGATGCATCTCAATTTTGGGTGCTGCACCAACAATTGTCTCACTTACTTTGGAGAATATTTTCTGTTTCCTTTGACCTATTTCCACAAACTTGGGCTTTCTGGAAAGCTCTGGCGACGAGCAACCCGTTGGGCCCTAATCCGATAGCAAAAAAAGCACAGCACCAGCGCAACGAGCTGCAGACATCGCTGGACTTGCGCCGTCACACGAAAATCGCTCGCCATTTCCATCTCCATTATCCCAGGATGCCCAACTGAGCCTGTTGCCGAGATCGTAGATCGCTTGAAAGGGGGAAACCCCAGGTCTGGAGCATTTGATTCACACGTAGAAATGCAAAGTGCCGTGCCGTATCTTGTAGGCTTCGTATCTGGGGAACGCAGCATCGTACCGTGATCGCGCTTGCTGCATTGGATTCCTTGAAGTTTTCTCTTCGTTTTGCATACTTGGATTGTCCCGAAAGACCGATATTTGACTGAATTACGAAGGTTTGTAGCTTGGTTGCTGCACCAGTGCGTAAACTCGCCAACTTTCAACTGCATTTTCTGCACTCTACAGTGTTTGCCATAAGGTCTGTTTTCGCATCTGGCAGCTCCAATAAGATTGTTCTTGTTCTTGTCATTATTGTCATCGTCGTCATTGTTGATGTTGTTTTTCTTGTTGTTCTTCTTTTTATTTTTCTTGTGGCAATTTGTTTGTTTGGCTTCCTGGCAGGAATGGCTGGAGCTTGAGCAACATCTGCTCACCGAGACGGTCTCAGTGCCTGTGTACTTTGCATGGGAGACGCCGGAGTTGCTTGCTCTCCACGGTGACTTGGTGAGCGCAGCCAATGGCGACAAGTCTGCTACGGCACTAGACAGTAAGGCGAGCCGAGCCGTTCTGTCTTTCAACCTGCTCTCTTCTCTTCTGCTCTATCGCTTGTTTTAACCTCGCGCCCAGGCACTTAGCTCGTGTATAGTCGGCGTAGTCCTGTCACCACACCAGCAAATGGCTGTCATATGTACTACATAGCACAATACTGAAAATAGGCAAAATGGCACCTATGAGGCTGCCGATGGTACATAGTCACCACACCACTGATGTACAGTCTGGTACATAGTCACCACACTACAGATGTACAGTCTGATACATGGTCACCACACCACAGATGTACAGTCTGATACATGGTCACCACCCCCACAGATGTACAGTCTGATACATGGTCACCACAGCACAGATGTACAGCCTGATACATGGTCACCACACTACAGATGTACAGTCTGATACATGGTCACCACACTACAGAGCGCCGCTGGGGCCTACTAGTACACTGTTTCAGAATGCAGCGCTTGTCTGAACAACGGCAGCGTGTGCAGCCATGGGGGCACTCAACAACACCTCGTATAACTTAATCTGCAAACTTTGTGAAGACCATCAGTACCAGTACAGGATACTTTGAAGGGAGTGTACAATAGACGTACTGTGCTATTTAGCCAGTATTCAGTACGATTGTTCTTGTCGTTGTTGTCATTATGGTCATTATCGTCGTTGCTCATGTTGCTGCTGTTGTTGTTGTTGTTCTTTTTTTCTTTTTCTTGTTCTAACTAGGTATGCTGAGTGTATTTTCAGGGCGTGGATATCAGATGGTAGCTAGTGCTCGAGAATCCAAACCTATCAAGGATGCTGTCATCACAACGTTGGTTGTAAGTAATGGGCTTCTACGCTCACCTCCAGGTGCCTGGACAGTGGTTCTTAGCAACAATCTACCATGCTTGACAATGCACTGAAGCTGTGTGTGTGTGTGTGGGGGGGGGGGGGGGGGGGGGGTGTTCATCAGCCTTGCAAGCTGTTGAATGGTGTAATCCCAGCACAAGTTGCTATGTCTAACAATTACATAGCTGTTCGCTATCATCGCTTCCACGATGAGCAGGTCTGAGGTGTGTGCGCGCGTGTGTGTGTGTGCGCGCGCGTGTGTGTGTGTGTGTGTGTGTGTGTGTGTGTGTGTGTGTGTGTGTGTGTGCGTATTTGCAAGTTAGAAGCTTGCCCAGTTTTGACTGGCCGCACAATCCAGTGTGCCGTTACATGATAGCTGTGATGGCGGAGGTTGTTGCCCTTGTCGGTACATTATACCGGTTATGTGATCACATCATCAGTTAAGATGCTTTGGCAAAGTCGCAGCAACACAGCCATGCACTAACGACTCACGGTGTATGCATAGCGCCCATAAGCGGGTCCGCTCACTGACCGTCATGACATCATTCGCAAAACACTACATCTTTCATGTGTGTGCGCACGTGTGTGTGTGTGCGAGCGCGCGCGCGCGTGTGTGTGTGTGTGTGCGTGCTCACGTGTGTGTACATATTTGTGTTCTCCTGTTGGCATGCAGGGGAAGTTGTCAGGTCGCTCTGATGGCCAGCAGCAATCACCCCTACCTACGCTAGCAGTTGTGGCTCACTATGATGCTCATTCTGTGTCACCGGTGTGTTTTATTTTTTATAGGACTGCTGAATGGGCATCACATTGCTTATCTGTTATCCTGTCTGTCTGTCTGTGTGTGGTGTGTGTGTGTGTGTGTGTGTGTGTGTGTATGTGTGTGTCTGGCCAGAAAAAGTCACTTCAATCAGCTGTGTGGTGGATACCAGGCTAAAATTAGTGGCGGTCAATTCATCAGCCTTGCAAGCTGTTGAATGGTGTAATCCCAGCACAAGTTGCTATGTCTAACATAGCTATTCGCTATCATCGCTTCCGCGATGGGCATGTCTGAGTGTGTTTGTATTGTAGCATTATGGTGATAATGCAGATTAATGGATGCACGCAGCTTTGTGCTACCGCTCAATCTATACTGCTGTGTTTGATAGTGCTGTTACTGCATGCTCATGCTTTGCTGCTGGCTACGGTCGCGTGCTCTGCACATCACCGTGATACTGCACATCACGGTGTGATACTCTGTGCGGCTTGGCGCTCTGCGTGATGTTGAATGCGTCTCTCTACGTGACATTGATTGATGAACGTGTCTCTCTACGTGACGCTCGCCTCCGATGTGGGCAGCGTGTGGCGCGGCGTCATGATGGCGTTTGCATGTAGCGCTCAACGTGGGCGACATGCATCATTGCATGACTTGCTAGAGTTTGCTCCGTTATATATTTCGATCCGTTCTGTGTGAGGATCATTCTTGCTTGCTCGTAGTGTTTCACCCTCCCACCTCCCATTTCTCATCACTAATTTGCTTTGATAAAGTGAATAAAGGGGGGTGTTGGCCCCGCTCATTTCCGGCTACTCAGGGCCCTCGGTCGCCGTCCCTCGGGCGCAGACTCTGTAGATACTTGGCTCCGCCAACATTCTGCTCCGGCAGTGTCTACCCGGCCGACCCTGAATCCTCTCTCGTAGATACTTGGCTCCACCAACATTCTGCTCCGGCAGTGTCTACGCATTTCGTTCCGTAGCCTCTCACTCCGCTGGCCGACACTCCCCGTACCGCAAGTTGCTGTGTGTTGTAGTTAATGTGTGTGTGTGTGTGCGTGTGTGTGTGTGTGTGTGTGTGTGTGTGTGTGTGTGTGTGTGTGTGTGTGTGTGTGTGTGTGTGTGTGTGTGTGTGTGTGTGTGTAAAAGCCACTTCAATCAGCTGTGTGGTGGATACCAGGCTAAAATTAGTGGCGGTCAATTCATCAGCCTTGCAAGCTGTTGAATGGTGTAATCCCAGCACAAGTTGCTATGTCTAACATAGCTGTTCGCCATCATCGCTTCCGCGATGGGCATGTCTGCGTCTGTCTGAGTCTGAGTGTGTGTGTGTGTGTTGTTATAAGTGCACAATTAATCTTATTGATTGCCATTTTGCGACTATTGTCTCCTCCTCGGTTATTTAAATGCAAATGTAGGCCTTGCATTTTCTCACCGGTTTGTGCCTTTCAATTTCCATGACTCTTGCCCTGTGCTTTCTGCTTCTCTCTCTCTCTCTCTCTCTCTCTCTCTCTCTCTCTCTCTCTCTCTCTCTCTCTCTCTCCCTGCAACAGCACTTATCATTCGGGGGTGATTCAAATGGAAGTGGAGTAGTTGCATTGTTAGAACTGGCCCGTCTTTTCTCTAGGTAAGTCATGCAGTAGTTGTGGATCTTTGTGGACTTGTGTATTGCGCAGATTTTTTAATTTTTAACGAAGGCATTATGCTATGTTTTGCTGATCTTGACTAGTAAACTTTAGATACGTCCTGGTGCCGTTTTGGTCTTTTTTGCACTGTTGTAGTGTGGCATCACAGTTATCCCTCTCAGGGCATGTTCGACTGGTATGATCAGGATCTAGATCAACCGGATCCACTGGATTCGCACCCTTTCGATTGTTCGAATCCGGATCCGGATCCTTTGAATTCGGATCCGGATCAACCCACCTCGGGGATCAGGGTTGACCGGACCCAACGGATCCGAATGTGACCTTTGTGCGTATACGGTGGGTAAACATCATTTTGTACACATTGTGGTACGCACACACGTGGATCGAGATACTCTTGTTGACTTTTCGTACGACGAGCGCACGGTGAGTATGACTTTCACCCTTTTGGGTGACCTGTGAGCGCCATTTTTGTCACGTACAGAGGACGACTTTTGGCAACAAAAAAAAAAAAATCCAGTGGATCCGGTCAACCCTGCTTCCCGATGTGGGTTGACCGGATCGAATCCGGATTCGACCCGTCAAAAGGGTGCGAATCCAGTGGATCCGGCTGGTCTGGATCGGAGGGGGGATGGGGGGGGGGGGGGTGTTCATTCATTATCACTTGCAGACAAGGGTTTATCGGCCGTGAGTGGGTGGATTTAAGGACGGAAATACTGCTGTGGTGTGGGCCCCCTGTGAGTCCCCTCATTTACACAAAGACGCTTTTTGTGAATACATGGTACAAACCGCAACACGCTCAGCTACACCGAACTGCGTGAAGTACTAGAAGCATGCGCCAAGCAGAGCAAGCACTTGTCCTTTGTGTCCTGCGTCCCGGGGAACAGAATGGCTGTGATTGCGTTACGGCCCATGGCATAGGGTGCACTGGCAAGGTTACCTGCACTAGCTGCCCCAAAACAAACAAAAAAACAACAAGAGCTGCGAAGAAACCTTCCGAGGGGGACATCAACGCTAATTCGGTTGATGCCGTGTTGGTGCGTCTGTGCACTGTAGTGTAGGGTCTTGTTTAGCCTCTATGGGAGTGCGCAACACTTGCAGACATCAGGAGTAACCATCCACCAGCAGAATTCCACGGCAACTAGCTACTCCTGATCAGGCTTGAAGTGTTCAGTAACACACCGCACAGTGCTGTTGTGGAGTGTTGTTGCTGGCAGTGAGACACTGCACAGCGCTGTTGTGGAGTGTTGCTGGTGTTGAACTGCTAATGGTAGCGTCTGCAAGCATCGTGAAGTCTTCTCGCGTCGAAACAAGATCTAGTTCTCTACTCATCTTTTAGATGCGTTGGACACAGAAATGTTGTCAAAACAAAGAAGAAATCGTAACATGGAAGAATGTGGGCGCGAGTTATGCGATTGAACCCACCAAATAAGCCAGATTTTGAACAGTCAATTCAGCACATGTTTCCATGTTGCGATCTTTCCCTTGGCTCGCCATGTGGATATTGAAGGCAGTAAAAGACGAAAGCAGTGTTGAAACGTGGCTACTGTGCTGTGCTATGTACCAAATACAGCTGAACCAGCTCACTCTACTGTAAGTCGACAAATTTTCGGCCCATTCAAATTTCTGCCTCCCGGGGCTAAAACACATTTCGGCTTGAACAAATTTTCGCCCTGCACTGCTGCTGCCTGTATACACTGTCACACTGAACCTTGAAAAACAAAATTTCGGCTGCAACAAATTTTTGGCCCAAGATGATCAGGCCGAAAATAGCCGAAAATAAATATGCGCCAAATATTTGTTGACTTACAGGATGTGATTGTATGGCGAATCAAGCTGTGGTCAAGGGCCTTGTCTTTTTTTGTCTTTCTCCGTGTCTGCGCATGTCTGTGCACGTCTGTGCATGTGTGTCTGACAATCACTCCTCTCGTCCATCCGTCTTTCCCTCCCTGTGTGTCTGCTGTGTAGGTTATATGCGGACAAGAAGACCAAAGCCAAGTATCCTGGAGTAGTGTGGCGTAGTTTTGCGTTCATGACGTTGTGTTGTCCGCCTTGCCTGCTCACAGTGTAGGACGTGCCGGGTCAGACGCGAAACCGTCTCAGTGTCAACAAGTCTACCCTGCCCTGCAACACATATAGCCGTACCAATGTTGTTTTTGCCTTTCAGCAGGGGTCTAGTTAGGCTGAAATGACCGCGGGGGGGGGGCTGCGACATTTACACTGTTGGCGTGACTCTTCTGACAACGAATTCTAGATACACAGCAAACGTCCAAGATCCGCGCTAAGATGAACCCGGATAAGTCTGTTTTCAGGCTCCGAGGACAACATGCAAATTGACTGTGCTATGCCGAACTCAAATGACACAAACTCTCAACTGTTAGCTTTCGAACTCTATCTAAGACGTACTTTTGACTCAGCATGTACACCATTGTCCGGCCTCACCATGCACACTGGTATCAGGTATAGATTATTGACACAGTGCATGCTGCTGCTGATGCTACGGCTGCTGTTGCTGTCGATGTTGCTGCTGCTGCTGCGGTCGATGTTGCTGCTGCTGTTGCTGTCAATGTTGCTGCTGCTGCTGCGGTCGATGTTGCTGCTGCTGTTGCTGTCGATGTTGCTGCTGCTGCTGCGGTCGATGTTGCTGCTGCTGCCGTCGATGTTGCTGCTGCTGCTGCTTCTGCTGGTAGTAGTGCTTCTTCATGGTTTTGTTATCATGGCTGTATGGTGTAGGTGTGTCACTGCTTTTCCTTAACCCGTGTGTGCTGGGGTAGCTTTGACCTGTTGTTTGTATTGACTGGTGGATCTAAACTGGATTACCAGGGCACTAAGCAGTGGATTGACAGTGTCAGTGAGTCAGGTGAGAGGAGGCGCTCATGATGGACTCAATATTGCTGCTGCTACTAATACTGCTGCTGCCGGTGCTGCTTCTGCTACTGCTGCTGCTCCGGCTGCTGCTCCTGCTGTTGCTGCTGCTGTTGCTGCTGCTGCTTCTGTTTCTGCTGCTGCTGTTGCTACTGCTGCTGCTGCTGCTTCTGCTTCTGCTGCTGGCTAGTTTGACTGTTGTGGTGGTTTCTTCTTGTGGTTGTGGGTATGGAGTGTAATGGCGAAGGCCATGTGACATTCCATGCTGCTCTTCTATCTGATGCTTGGGGAGTGGTAGTGGTGCTGCTGCTGCTGCTGCTGTTGTTGTTGTTGTTGTTGTTGTTGTTGTTGTTGTTGTTGTTGTTGTTGTTGTTATTATTCTTTTATTCCACGGTTGTTGTTGTTGTTGTTGTTGTTGTTGTTGTTCTGGATGCTACACAGAATTGCTACTGCAATTGTACTGTTGTTGGCATTGTCGTGTACATTGGCACACTGATCTGTGTTTCTCTCATCGCCACTCTCTTGTCCTGTTTCAAATCTTTATTCTCACGATAGCCAGTGGCTAATAAGAGATGTTGTTGTTGTTGTTAATGTTGTTGTTGTTGTTGTTGTTGTTGTTGTTGTTGTTGTTGTTGTTGTTGTTGTTGTTGTTGTTGTTGTTGTTGTTGTTGTTGTTTGCTTAGATGAGAACCCACTGTCCAATGTCCACTATGTGCTATGCCTGGACAGCCTGGGCAATGGCGATGGTATTGTTATTCATGTGTCCAGACCACCCAAGGAAGGCACACCCGCCCATGCTGTTGTGTCGGTAAGGGCACTTGACCACCTACTCTTCCCCCCGGTTCAGTTTGGAGGACCTTTGGTTGATTTAGCCTATTATTGGGCATGCAAGTACAGTAAAACCTGTCATGGCGACCACTCGGATAAGGCGACCACCTGTCCTATAAGACCACTGCAACCAGGACCAAGAGATGCTATTTCCAGTCAATTAACCCTGGATAAGGCGACCACCTGGTGACAGAGACCACATTTTGAAGGTCCCTTGAGCGGTCGTGTTAGACAGGTTTCACTGTACGGAATGTTTAAGGCCCTTCACTGTACTGCTGTATAAGCAGAAATATTCGTCTGGAATTTAATTTCATCTTTTTCGTCCAAGCAACTTTTGGACTAAATTAAATACCGGACTAATGTCGATGTGTCCAGCTTTTCCATACACCCTTATGATCCATGGACGAAATTTTCAACCCGACGAACTCCCTTTCTTTGGAGTTGGACGGAATTATTGACCGGCGAAATTTTCTGCCTCTACAGTATATCGTGCCGTTTCACATTTCCCCATGCATTATTATGCAAGTACAGTGAAACAGCTGTGTAAGACGACCACTCAAGGGACCTTACAAATGTGGTCTCTGTTACCAGGTGGTCTCCTTATGCAGGGTCATTTGACTGGACATAGCATCCCTTGGTCCTGGTTTCAGTGGTCTTCTAGGACAGGTGGTCGCCTTGAGAGGTTTTACTGTAGCTTAGGTGTAGGCCTGTACAGCTCTCCATGTCCATTCTCCCTTGGAGCTGCATGTGCCTTCTATTGAAGTTAACTTCAGTCAAAGGTAGTGTTACCAACCATGCCACGTTTATCCGTATTTTACGGACTTTTTAACCGTTTACGCGGAGACAATAACTTTATTAATAATATTATGGCAATCAGCAGAATCAGCGAAGCGGACATTGGACGTAGTAATGTTGTTTATTGCTAGATTTCAGTATTGAGACGTATTTCCCTGATGAATGTCTCTAGAAAACTTGTTAAGAAACTTTATTATCCATTCATTTTTGTTCGTTACTATGTCCAATGTCCGCTTCGCTGATTCTGCTGGTTGCCATAATTTGTAACCATTGGTGTGTGAATTATCAAGCAGATTGGAATCCTCAGTTGTAGCATGAAACTTGAAACATTAGTGCTACTGTATACAGCTAAGCCTACATGTATGTCCTTGTTTGGCAGTTCAACAGATGGGCACACACACATACACACACACACACACACACACACACACACACACACACACACACACACACACACACACACACACACACACACACACACACGCACACACACACACACGCGCGTGTGTGTGTGTACATACGTGTATGCATGTCCATGTATGTGCGTGCATGCGTGTGAATGTGTGTATGCGTGTGGGTGGGTTTGTGTATGCGTGTGTGTGGGTGGGTGGGTGAGAGAGTGTGTGTGTGTGTGAGAGAGAGAGAGAGAGAGAGAGAGAGAGAGAGAGAGAGAGAGAGAGAGAGAGAGAGAGAGAGAGAGAGAGAGAGAGAGAGAGAGAGAGAAGAGTGTGTGCCCGTGCACTTGATTCTACGACGAAAGTGTCGCCAATCTACACAGTGTTGTATGCAATATAATAGCGAGGTTTCGCTCTACGTAATTACGTATGAAAATCCGTGTGTCGTACGCGACAGGGAGCGAGGGCAACTTTCATACGTAAATCTCTCTACGGATTTCCGTAGGAAAGCTCTTTCCTACGTTGAGTCCTCCGTGGGACTTTTTGTAATATTTTTCGCTTTATCCATGGCAACATTCAAGCCGTGCGAAACGCAAGGTACACACACCGTACACCACGTGCAAAATAAAATGGAAACACGATTTCGGTTCGTTGTGCATGCAGTGAGCATATGCAGCCAACCCGTCTTCAAAGCAAGAATTCATGTTTAGCAGTCGTGGAGAAATCATGTCTTCAAAGCAAGAATTCATGTTTAGCAGTCGTGGAGAAATCATGTCTTCAAAGCAAGAATTCATGTTTAGCAGTCGTGGAGAAATCATGTCTTCAAAGCAAGAATTCATGTTTAGCAGTCGTGGAGAAATCATGTCTTCAAAGCAAAAATTCATGTTTAGCAGTCGTGGAGAAATCATGTCTTCAAAGCAAAAATTCATGTTTAGCAGTCGTGGAGAAATCATGTCTTCAAAGCAAAAATTCATGTTTAGCAGTCGTGGAGAAATCATGGAGAGCGAAACCCAACAGCGCTGATTTTTACTTATGAAAATTACGTGCATTTCCTACGTTATTTTCCTACGTAATTCCGTAGAGCGAGACCTCCCTAATAACATGTGTGTCAGCAGTAACATGTATTGTGTCCTGTTGTTTGGTTGACAGCATGTTACAAGGCGGAGGACGCACTGTGCTTGAAAAAACATTGCTCCTTTGTCCTTACTAAAGGCCGGGGTTCTGCCAACCGTGGAGGTTGTAGGAAGGAGCACTGGGTTTTTTTTTCAAGCACAGTGCGTCCTCCGCCTTGTCTTAAAAATGCTGTCAACCAAACAAGGCTGATCTAATTACATGGCTGGGCATGTACAGTTGTGGCAAGTGAAGTCCGACATTTGGCATAAGGGACAGCGCTACACAGCGTTCGGCCGCTGTCACCATGCGTACATACAGTCTTTAACATTGTTTCAGCATGCATCCCGGTACTGAACTACTGGAAGACCTGTAATGTTAACGAATATTTAATTGGACTCGGATGGAGAGCCAAGGTTTAATTTATACAAAAGAGAAAGGACCAAGGAACTACAAGTTACGCTATACTGCTGTACTGTTATCGCATGGGCTGATTGTTTAGTAACTGGTGGTGTTAGTGGACAGTATAGCGTAACTTGTAGTTCCTTGGTCCTTTTTTCTTTTGAACATTTAATTCTAATGATTTAACGAATTTAAACAATTCGTTAGCATTTGAAGTCGTTATGTACAAAACGATATGTACCTGTACAGTCATTTGCCGGTTTTGAGACGGAATTCGTTAGAATTTCACCTCGCTAACCCACAAAATCCGGAGATCGTTTACTTAAAGTACTTTACTAGTCTGAGGGAAAGAGACAAACGGGAAAAGTCTGAAGAAAAATTGACTGTCACCACCAGGACTCGAACCAGGGACCCTCGCTTGTAGCTAGCGATGCTCTAACCACTGAGCTATGGTGTAGTCGTCATCCCAGCATAGACTGTTGAACATTTTCTTCAGACTTCGTAACTCACTTTAAAGTACTTTAATTGATGTTAAAATATCTGGTCTCACAGTACGCACAGTGCAGTCCACATTATACTGCGCTGTACTGTGTTCCATGCATGTTGTACCATGTGTACCCCACACTGTGCAATGTGCAGTGTGCACTGTAGCTGGGCAGAGTCGTGTTCACAGCCACACCCGCGTACTGACTCTGTGCACTAGCACTACACTTTCGTCAAGCTTGCAAGGCGGAGGCATGCACTACCTGGCATGAAAAGCACATGCACAAGCAACAATCAAGAACACAGCACAAGTTGTGTTTCTCCAAGAGGAGACTGATAATTAATCAATACTTGGTGTGTCCACCATCTTTGTGGATCACCTCCACTCGCCTTGCCATCGGGTCCGCAAACGGAGCAACGGCGGCGTGTTCCAGAGCATCCCATTCGGCATTCAGTGCCGCGCACAATTCCGCGGCAGCTTGGCACTCATGCTTGATAATGTTTCTTTTTACTTAGAATTGCACGCACGTTCTCGATGGGGTTGAGGTCGGGAGAGGAGGGAGATTGAAACAGTATGGACGGGACGCCGTTTTCCAGGAGGAAGTGCTGCGCTTCCACGGTGCGGTGACAAGTGGCGTTGTCCAGCTGCAGTTGCCAGTCGCCGTCGAAAAACATGTTGCCTGCTGACGCAATGTCCGTCATGACGGCTTCAGCAAACATTTCTGGGTTCAACGTGGGTGC